TGGATGGACAAAGGAAGATGGGATGGATGGGTGGGGGGGATGGCATGGGATGGCATGGGATGGGTTTAGTTAGTATTTTGGGTGGGTGGATGGATGGATGAATGGATGGGTGGGTAGGTGGGTCGGTTGGTGGATGGATGGATGGATGGGTGGATTGGTAAAGATAGATTGGTGGATGGACTAATATAAACATAGATGGATGGGTTGATGGGGAAGATATAGATGGGGGGGATGGTGATTAGGGGATAGATTAATGGGTGGAGAATTACTTGATGATTCCATTTTCTCTATTTCTTTCCCATTCAGCCTTGTCCAGTGGAAAGCTGCATAATCATTGTAAATAAAGCTATGGAACTCTGGGACAAGCATGGCACAACTATCAACTCAGAAACACCAGCATCTCATTGAAAAAAATATTACCTTGCTTGGCAACCAAAAATATATATCTATGCAAGAAGATGGACCTGATTTCCATGGCAACCAAAGGATAAAAGCAACATTATAGTTTCTTGGTATAACAAGACAAAAGCTTCAAGTAAGGGACTTCTTAAGTGCAGTTATTTGCAGGAAATAGGAATTGCAAACATATCTTGGTAAATATCAGAATAAGATTATGTATTTAGGACTTCAAATTTTCCTTAGAGGAGAGGGAGGCTGTGAATTTAGAGGGATATCAATATGAAAAGCTCAGATTTGAAAGATCCTTTGTGAAAAATTCAGAGTAAGGTCAGTAGATGGATTTGATTTTCAGGGTTTTAAAATTTTGTTTGCCTAACAAAGCCCTTCTGTCTCCCTCCCTCACTGCAAAGAATATAATATAGAATATAATAATTTTTCCCTGATCCTTATTACATTTTAGGAAAAGTTTTGAATGTAAATTTGATGTTTAAGCTTTAATATATTGGTGTAATTTAATAATATTTGACAAACTATTTATTCAAGGTCCATATTATTATTTTGTAGAATCAAACTAAAACCTTTATCACTCTTTCAGTGCTACGGGCTGATTGAGACAACAGCAGCAAAAGGGGAAATGGGGCAACAGACTAATATTAATCAAAAAATCGTTTGGTACCTTTACATACTCTGCTTGATGGCAGTATTTTGCCAGATTTTAATGTCTTGACTGTTGTCCCAACAGCATAGCAATGAAAAAAATGGTCAATCATTTTGCAAACAAGGTTTAGTTTACTTATTTTGTCTTATTTATAATAGCACTTTTTGGCACCACGGTAACTGGTATAATTTTATTTATAATTTGCATTGAAAATCAAAGGTTTTCTAAATTTTGTATGCTAAAAATATTCAAAATGAATCTGTATATAATGAGTTTTGAAATTATTTCAATGCATGGAAATGAATTTTAGCAAATAAATCTGGAATTTCTACTTTCGTTAGCATAATTCTAAAATATGTAGTTAATTTTGTAAGTAAAGTTGCAAGAATATTTATGAAATAATATTATTTCTAAGCTAGCCTCGATTCTATTTTAACTTCATTTTGGTTGGCTGGTTCTGCTTAATTCTTGGAAATTATTTCAAATTCAATTATATATATAACACAATCATTCTGACCTTTAAAGTGCTTTACAAAGCTGTTAATAAAATTTCGAAATATTCTTTGTATCGTTATTTTTTTGCTTTCCAAACATCCTTCCTTTCTTTCTTTATTTTCTTCTGACTTGACGTCTGCAGTGATACAATTCATACATACATCAAATTTATAATTCGGTGTCATAATAAGCTTTCATAATATATACTAATTTTGTGGCAACACAAAAACTTAGAAATTGGGGAAGTGCAATGCAATATTTTGTGCTAATCTTTTTTTCGAAACTTGATTTTTTCTTATGATTACTTTATGTAGAATTTCAGTACGATGAAAAAGTATTATTAGCTTTATGGGCCACACCAAACTTCGCCTTGTTGTTTCTCTGAATAAAGGCAGGGCAGTCATGTTGTGTGACGTACTAAACGACGATCAACCGAAGTCATTACGAAGGCAGTTTCTATTTTTATACTCCCAATTAAATTATAATAAAACACATTGAAAATTATCGAAAAATGCTTTAATAACTATAAGAATGGTTTAAAATTGAATTGAAGGGCGAATTTGTAAGTTTTTGGTTGATATTGCTCTCCTGTTGCCTCTCTAGGTATCATTTCAACTTTAGCTGTTTCTTTTCCGGACAAACTTGTGCCCTTCCGATGTTGTTCCGGAGATTTGATTCCGAAGTTAATATTTACTGTTCGTGCAATAGAATATCATACATTTTTCACTTTTAATCATTGAAACTATATCTTATGCCAGCTGTTCAATGCTCAATTGCATGCAATAGTTAAAATTAATATTTTAAATGAGTTTAAAAGTATTCTGCTGTTTACGAGGATCCCGTGATATTCCGTGAAGCGAGACGAAACCGGAAAACGCGTTGCGTTACCGGACGTGAAAAACAATCGCCAGCATGCACGCATGCGTACTGGCCCGTCGTTTTTCCAAGAAACTGGACAGAAGGAGCGCTGGCATTACGTATGTTTTCTTTGAACGCTATATTGGTTTATATTTAGCCTATTACGTTACTTATCAAGGGAATAAATATATATACCTCGCACAAGCCGGGTTTGTTATTGGGCTTATCAATACAGGGACAAAATAGCGGGAACACATGTCCAAAAGGGGGTTTCCCTAAGAATCGCTCTAAACTATATCTAGTATACCCTAGTGATTCAAACTATCAGATCAACAGATTTTACAGCAAAAAGCAACAGAGAAAGTTAAACGATCCTTGTTAGGATGGATGATAGGATGGATGATAGTATTGCCTCGCCGAAGTTCTTCTATGTTTACCCCGAGTCTTGTGCTTCAAGTTTATCGAGCAACACCGATTTTTCGATGGTGAGTGTGATCTGGTTTAAATACTTTTAACCTTCTTTCAGCCACTGCTTCCTATTTTGGCCGGATTTTCACCAAAATAGATAAAAGTTTGACTTCAAATGTATCTCATAAAATTCAGTCTCAAATACGAAAGCCGACGAAAACAAAAAAAATATAAGTCAAATCATAGTATTGTACTGTTAGGTAGTCTATCTTGTCTACCAAGTTATTTGTTTTGAAAGCGAAATGCACGTTGCTTTCTTCCAATTTCATCTTTACCCTTGTTGGTTTTCATTACGTCTTTCTGTTTGTTCTGTTCTAGGTATTTCATTTCTAAGAAATGAATACCAATTTTCTCAGTAAGATTTTATTCAAATTATATCAAAATTAGTAAAATGACTTTTCACGACTGATATATCACAAGCAGGACACTCAAAGCATTCGCGCACAAATCTGCCATTTCGATTTACTACTATTTTTTTACACAATTTTTCAACCAAAGCTTGTAGATACGGAGCTAGAAGTATTGTTTTTAATACATCTTCAGGGGACTGCAAGCAATTCAACGTCAACGAATGAATGGCACAACCCTTTCCAACACGCAGCCACTAATTTTTTCCAACAAGAAACCGCTCCGAAAGCCGTGAAAACCGAACTTAAAAAAGTTATCCAAGTAAGGAAAATTGCTAATGGAGAAGAAATGCCTGAAATTGAATGGAAAAAACCTCCAACCCCACAGGTAAAATTATTTTTTTACTTATCATTTGCTATAAATATTCGTAAGAAAAATCCCTTTCGTGAACAAGTATTTTGTCATCATGTTATTACGCGCAAACGCCAACCCATGAAGCTCTTACTTCTAAATTTTAATTAAGGACAAATATTCTTGGGTCGAAAACGTATTGGGTATTATTTTATAGAGTTAATAGTTTTTAATTTAAAACAACGTGCTTACACGCTGAAATCCTTTTTGACTCAGACCGAGTTCGATAACCAGGGGACGTTGAGTTTACCTGCTAATGCTAATCTAACTTCAAAAAAATCCCCTTTGAACAAGCTCTCAAAAAAAACCGTCGTTGTTCAACACCAGATTTGAAATGTGGTGCTTTCTGCTATTTCAGCAATAATATCTTATAAGTTCCTGTCATAATAGTTTAGTCCATCATTGAATATTTTTAAGACCCTTACATATGAAAATCATTCCATATATTGATATGACATTTGATATTGGTGACAATAACACAATTCAGTTCTGGTGCGCATGCTCACTGATGACCGAAAACAAGATGGCGGACCGTGTAAAACGTTTTTCTCGTCCACCAAAACGATTCATTGAGGAATGTAGTCGTAAA